CGCCGGTGATCGGCGCCGGTGAGGGAGGATCGAGCGAGCGCAATGCACTTCAGCTCTTGGGTTAGGCTCATGGTTGGACCGGGCCGAATAGGGCCCAACCCCAATGCACTTTGGCGGTTGGCTCAATTCACCCGATGTACATTCTGGGTTTTTTGGGTTCATGTGAAAAGGCTAACACGTTCAGCTGAGCTTATGAATTGGCGGGGGGACATCTTGGCCACCGTCCGGTTTTGTGTTGAGAATTTCCAAACATCGCAGCAGAAAATGTGCCTAATCTCACTGTAGTCAATTCTACCCGGTTAAATTCACAATCGCGAAAGATACCCGCGACAATGGTCTCGATTTCTTCGTTCCGCCTCGGTCCAACTTCACTTACATCGAATTAGTGCAGGAGAACGCGACGGGTATCGAAACACGTGCCTGTTCGGACGCAACGGCAGTTCACAAATCCCCTGTTGAAACCAGAATAGCATCTCTGCTAACGAAAAGGATTCAATCCTAAGCCTAACAAAAAGACCTCGCACAGCACAAGTCCACGACGACCCACCGTGTGGTCCATTTCTCCGAAACATCCCCCCCCGGGGGGGGGGGGGTCAGTTCTCCGCTACATCGCACCTCGCGGGAATACAGTGGACACGATCCTCTTCATCCGACACGTGTGCGGCTCCTCTTGCCAGGCCCGGCGAGAGCCGACCAGTAGCTTCCCGAAACGCGTCCGCGGCAACGCATTCCCACAGAAATGCACACGTCAATTTCTTAGTTCTTCCCGAGTGTACGGACGAACGCGACAAGCCCTCGTCCTTCGCGACCTGCGAGGAAACAAGGTTTTTTCTTTCTTTCTTTTGTTTCTCTTTTTTTTTTTTGGGGTTTTTTGGCCTTTTTCTTTCCCCTCTCCGCTTTCGCTTTAAATTCCCCTTTGCCACGTCCCCTTCCTAAGAATCAAAGTCAGAAGATAACATGGGAGCTTAAAATTTGAAAAAGGTCGGTCAGATGCAGCTTCTTTATCTTTGCTTTTTTCAACTTTTGTTTGATTTCACGACCCAAAAAACAAAAAAATCTTTTGTTTAATTTGGCAGGAAGATGCGGGCCTTTGTCTAAATCTCATAGAGAAAAAGGGAAATGGGAACGGAAGCATGTTCGGTTAGTAAAAATGATTCGATTCTTGAAGTGCTTCATCGCATTGGGCCAATGAGAAATTATTATGCTTTTACTTAAAAAAAACATAAAATAATAATTAGTATGCTTTTACATTAAAAATAGGGCTCGGTGATATTTATTAACGAGATTGCGGGAATTCGAGTAATTTGTAATGATCTAGGTACAGCGCATGGAAATAAAAGGTCTCCCTAATCTTGCTTCTTCTTCTTTTCTGAATGCATTGATTTTGTATATTGCCGAATTAAAAAGAAAACCCTTTATGGGTGGTCGAGAGAACGTGCTTTATGTGAGTGTGTATGTCTATCCCATGGACAGACTGGCGAGGATCAAATGGTATGTCATGTCGTTGTCTTGGGAAGGCAACTGCTGTTATCTATATTCAACACCGGTATTTCACACGTGATAATAAATAAAAGAAAGGGATGGGATGTATTTCGGAAAATTGTTGCTTAAATCTAGTTCACATGAATCGAATGAATCTCAACCAATATTGTCATGGAATCTACTGGAGACCCATTTTACCCTAGGCTTTTTGTTTAATCAAGTAGAGAAAACGAGTAATGTGGGAGGGAGAAAGTTCATCCGTAAAAGTTGTTCGATTCTCAAAGCACTTCATTGCATTGGGCCAAAGAAGAACATTCATGCTCTGTCTAATTATTATGTATTCATTTTAAAAGTAGTTTCTCATGACACTTGTTAAAAAGGAAATTTTTTGTGTTAGTTTAGGGAACAGACCAAAGCCTATGCAAGTGTGTATTTCTATTCCATAGATGGACTAGCGAGGATCAAATGGCGTGTAACGTTATTTTCTTAGGAAGGCAATTGTCGTGATCTACACTCTACGCCGATAGTTCACACACGACAACAAATATAAAGGTTGGGGTGGAATATATTCCAAAAAATGTCTCCTTACATCCACGTAGAGATAAGGTAATGTGAAAGGAAGCAAATTCAATTGTAAAGTTATTCGATTCTTAGAATGCTTCATCACATTGGACCAAAGAGGAACATTCTTACTATGTCTATTAATTATTATGTTTACCATAAAGTTTCCAATGACACTTGTTAACGAGACCACCAAAAATTTGAGCAATTTACAATAATCTAGGTACGACACGTTGAAACAAATTAATCCCTTGTGTTGCTTCCTTCTTTGTTTTGTTTTTTTTTTAACGCACAGATCTTGTTTTTCGCTGTCGAATAAAAAAGAAAACCTTTATGTAAGTCTAGAGAACAAGTCAAAGTCACTATGCAATCGTGTAATTCTACTCCATAAACGGATTGTTAAGAATAAAGGGATAATAACGTAGACAGTCCCTAAATTTTTGTTCAATGTGTAATGTGGTCCCTAAACTTTTAATTTGTTCAGTGTATATGGTCATTGAATTTTTAATTTGTTCAATATACTTATGGACTTTTGGTATATGCTCAATGTAGTCTGAACTATATGAAAATGTTCAACGTGGTCCATGAACTTAAATTGGTACACCGTGATAAATTTACCTTCCGTTAGTTTCTATTAAATTTTACCATCAATTTACTAAATTGGATGACACGTGACAATTGGCGGTTTGGGGCACCTAAGTCCCGGAATTTTTATTGTATTAATCAAATATAACGAAAACTAAAAGAGGGTCGGGTGTACCGATTTCGGGGTTTCTAGCGGTAAAAGAATTAGTTTATAGTGAATTTATTAAATGTATACCCATTTGAGATATTCGGTGCTCAAAATGTTAGTTCGAGATAAATTTGTCGAGGCTATTTCAATTCGGAGTTTTTCGCGGTACCAATCCTAAAGAAAAACGGAGTCTCGGTTGACCCAAGGAAGTTGTACCGAACGTTCTCTCCTTGAAGGACCCATCTTCGATCTTTACCTCGACGACTTAAAAGAAAGACCCGTCGGCGTCATTTAGCCTTTAGCCTCCTCCTCCTCCTCTTCTTTTTCCCCCTTTGTTTTTTTCCCTTCGAAATTTTAAAATAAGCACAAATTTCAATTCCTCCGTCGACGACCGGGGACAAAAAGGAAGCGTTGTCTTGATTTCCCGCCGCCACGACAATCGAGACGCCATGGGGCCATGGGCAGGTGCGAGCCAAGCCAACCATCATTCCTTCCCGTGGTCGTGGGGGGGCCCCGCTCCCTCCTTTCCTCGTCCTCGTAGACCCGGGCGGGGGGAGACTTTCGCTGCGCCTCTTTCTATTCGGCGACTTTTCTGCCCCCAAATGCCAACTGCCCCCATGACCAATCGCATTCCATTTTTGGAAGAATTGCCAAAACAAGTTCTACAGTAATCTCTCCTTGCCGGCAAGAGTCTCTCCTTGCCGGCCATTCGTAATCACCTTATAAAGGTCACAAGAGATAGAGGGCTGTCCTTTAAGCCCGTGGAAGACACTCCCCGCAACCGGAGAATCCAAAACAACTGGGGCATCCCACCAACAATCTTTGAGTGATCTTCCTTTTTAGATTGTTTGTTGCTCTTGTTCTCCCTTAGCCATTATTTTGGCTCTCTTTTGTTCCACTTAGATCGCGTTTAGCTATGCATAGTCGCACACCTTTTTACCCGTTGTAACACCATTGGTGTCCCATTGGGTACGAGGTTTTTGTGTTCGACTATCCCCTCTTTGTAAGCGGTGCGTCAAAAAGTCAATATACATCTTACCTTACCAAAAAAAAAAAGTTCTACAGTAATGATACAGTGTGTCAGTTCGATCCTAAACCTTTAAAATTGTCTCAATTTAATCTTAAGATTTTTGACGATTTGTCGATTTAGTTATTCCGTCCAATTTTGATCGGAAATCACCGATATGAATAATTTTTTAAAAATTTTCTAATTATTTTTCTAATTTTATTCTTTCATTCTTTTTTCTTTCTTTTTTTTTCCCCTAACCTTGGGCCGGTGACCCTCGCCTGGTCTGGCCAAGGGCCGCGACGCCCTCGCCTGGTCTGGATGAGGACGTCGCCGGCCCAGGCTTAGAAAAAAAAAGGGAAACAATCAGAAAATTTTAAAACAAATAAAATATTTAAAAATTATTTATATAAGTGCCGACCGTGCCATGTAGGATCTCGGCGATTTCTAGTTAAAATTGGCCAAAAAACTAAATTGACGAATCGTCAAAAAATTTAGGATTAAACTGATAAATTAAAAGATTTATAAGTGAATTTGAATAAATGTAATAGGTTTATAACTTTTAAGTTTTCTCTTTCTTTTGTTTTGAAACTATGTTTATATCTCTCTTTATTTTTTATCTGATGACCTTCTCTTTTTTAGAGAGAGGCGAAGAGGAAGGGATACTACAAGCTAGTTTCTATTCATTTTACGCCGCTTAATTTTCCTTTTAAAAAATGGGCCATGCTCGGGGGGTTTTTGGACAGAAGTATCCCTATTCCGGTTGCCGAAAATTGGCCGGGAACTTAGGCCTTTATTTGAGACCGATTGATCATTTCATGTTCTTATTTGAATCAATATCTACTCGGGACCTTCTTTCGAAAAAACTAACCCCACTTCGGATCCTTATTTGTAAATTTCCTCGAGATGCTTTGCGTCGAAAAGGAAAAGAGCGTGTGTGTATATATATATATACACGTATGAAAAAGGAAAAGAATATCCATTACGTGCAAAAGTGAAAGTCCCGGCAGGGCAAAATATTTTCCTCGCAAGAACCCTGGTATTCAAGCGACTTCAGGTCTAAGTCACACTTTTTTCCTTCGCTGCCTCTACACTCCTCCGTTTCCCTCTCTCTCTCTCTCTCTCTCTCTCAGTTTCTTTCCCTTCTATATATACAGCGATCTACGCAGGCGCTCTCGTTTTTCTAATTGTATCTTCTCTTACACACGCTCGTTCGCTCTCGGCCTCGCACATTGGTTTTCGCTCTTCAACTGTATTCCTCGCTACTCTCGATTTTCGCCAATGTCAGGCCGTGGTGGTGGCCGCGGCGGCGGCCGCGGCCGCGCGGGAGGCAGGCGATCGGACTCTCGCGGCGATCAGCCGGCCCCGTCGTTTCAGCGCGGAGGAGGTGGCGGCAGAGGCAGGGGCTATGCCGCCGCCGCCGCCGCCGCCGCCGGCAGTTCCGGTTACCGTCCGGCTCCGGCTCCGGCCCCGGCCCCGGCCCCGGCTCCGTCGCCGGTTCGACCGACTGTAGCTGCGTATCCTCCCGGACCATCTACTGCTGTTGTTGCTGCTGCTGCTTCTTCTCCTCCCGGAGCGTCTAGTTCGGGGACTTCCCCTGTGGCGCCGGCGTTGGATGTTTCTTCTCTGAGCGGCGAGGTCGAGCGGCGGCTCACATTGCGGGCTCCTTCGTCGCCGCCGCCCCTCTCGTCGAAGGGAGTCAGGTTTCCGCCGAGGCCTGGCTTCGGAAGGGCCGGGAGAAAGTGCGTGGTTAGAGCGAACCATTTTCTAGTCGAAGTAGCGGACAAGGACTTTCACCATTACGATGTAATGCATCTCCTCCCGAGTGAATCACTTCACCTGTGGAAATTTTTGTCGTCTTGCTCAAACCGTCCTGTTTTCTGCCCGGGTTTTACTGAACTCTGTCTTTGCTTTGGAGTTCGCTCGCCGGCGTTTATTTTGTTCTATTGTTTTCCTCCTTTCATCATGTGTTTTTGTCTTACGTTTTTCCTTTTCGTGCTCTGGCTTTGCTATTGAGTTTGGTTTTTGGTCTTTGTTAGTCATCTCCACAAAGTTCAGCGGGTCGTTTTGCTCTGTCTTTAAGCTCAGTCCACCCGTGTCGGATCTCGAACCATTTCAGCTTCTCCCTTTGTTTTTTGTTTTATCGTGATTATTTGGTTGATTGTTTTTTTGTAGACTTTTATGCGCTATTTGGGATTTTTCCCCTTTGCTTGTCTTTTTTTTTTTTTTTTTTCCCCCTCTTATTGATACTCAGGTCGGGCTGCAGGTACACTTGCCCAAGATTAGTTGTCTGGTCCAGGAGCTTTTGTTGTGATCTTTCCCTCAGCGTTCATCCAGTTTTGAGTTGAAACTTTTCTTGTTAATTTTCCGATATTCTCTTTTGATACTGCACAGTTGAATTGTTTTTTTTTTGGAAATTAGTACTAGTTAGTTTTTTGGGCTTGGATGTTGATCATGTTTCCTGAGCAGCAGTGGCCTGACCGCTTGGCTTCTTCATGCGTTCTAATGGGAGAAGTCCTATTTTCCTTCCCTTCTCCTCATTAATATCTGTGATCTTTCTGTAATATAAAATGTTTCTGGTTAGCACTTTAATTCCTCATAGCAATGTACTTTCCTCCTTCAGCTTTGCAACCTTTCTGAATTTAATTTAGATAGGCTTGCGGTTTTTTTATGCGACTCATTGTTGTTTTCGTCTTATTGATGAAATAGTCCCCCTTTTTGTTTCTCATTGGTATATCGTAAGTCATGATTTTTTAGCTAACTAATATTACTGCATCTCAATGGCTTGACATTGTTTCAATTATGAGTCGGAGTTTCAATTTGTTGTGCCGTATTCGATTTTTATTGGAGTCGAAATGCCTTGAATTTACTGACCTCGTTTTTTTGGCATTGGTAACACAATGATTTAGGTATCTATTGATCCCGTGGTTTCTAACAAGAAAATCAATAGGGAGATATTAGGTGTTCTTGTCAAACAGTATTGGGAGACTCATTTGGGTAGGAGGAGACCGGCCTACGATGGGAGAAAGAGTCTCTACACAGCAGGACCCCTCCCTTTCAATAGCAAGGTGTTTTCTGTTAAATTGGTAGAAAATGATGAAGCTGCCGGTAGTTCTTCTCAATCGAGAAGGTGAACCTTCCTTATTGTTTTGGTACTAGGTAATCATCCGAACACTCTTTAGTTTTTAATTTGGAGGCATCATGCAGGAAGGAACGTGAATTCAAGGTAACGATATCGTTGGTCGCTAGGACCGATCTTCATCATCTTCAGCAGTTTATTCAGGGTAGACAATTGGATTGCCCGCAAGAGATAATACAAGTTCTTGATGTGGTCCTTAGAGCCTCTCCATCTGAAAAGTAATTTCACGTGCAATTTGTATCCATTACCTTCTTTAGGGGTAACTTGTGGGCACTGTGTACTTTTTGCTTCCTCTATCAATCCATCTGTTGACTTGCTGATTTCATCACTATAGGTATACTGTTGTTGGACGATCATTTTTTTCAACTGATTTAGGGCTTAAAGGTGAACTCGGTGAAGGTTTAGAATATTGGAGAGGATACTATCAGTCTTTAAGACCTACACAGTTTGGGCTCTCACTCAATATAGGTACTTCGCTTGAGCACTCAGTTATCTTTGCTCGTGTACATCAGCCAATCTTGCATATCAGTTTGAATGGTACTGATGCACTCTATACAATTTTCTCGACCTGTAGACGTGTCGGCTAGAGCTTTCTACGAGCCAATTCTTGTTACCGAGTTTGTTGCGAAATACTTCAACCGTCGAGATATGTCGAGCCAATTGTCTGATCAGGACCGTATTAAGGTATGACCTTTTGTATTTGCAAATAAAGCCCATATTGACTTTATCGATAGCAATGCCTTGCTTCTGCAGTTCGACAGTCTTAGGTATCATAATGTAAGCTCAGAGAGCAGAAGTTATCAAGATCTTGTCCTCTATTTTATGATTCGCAGAATAATATATTTCATGTATGGAATATATGCAACTAATTCAGTTGCCCAAGACATTTGATGCTTTCGATTAAAATATGTTTGATGGGGTTCGAGCAATTTTTTACATGTATTATTTTCAGTATTTGTAATTATGCATACTTCATTTGTTCACCTCGTAAACAAGAACAGCTTTGAGAACTTGTGAATGCATCTGCATTATGTAGAGGAAAAAAGGCAAAACGAAGAAGGGTATTTTATCCATACTATCTGTGAAATCCGCGGGAACTGAAATGGTATTTGTTTTATCCATAGTATCCTTGTATGTGTGGGTTCCTGTTGGTGCGCATGTGTGTTTCGGGTGGAGGGAGAGGGGTAATTTTCTTTAATTTCTCTTTGGATGGTTATTTGGCGTCGGATTATTTTTATGCAAGTGAGTTACTTTCATCTCTCTCAATTTAGACATTGCTCTTGCTCTTTTTGGGATCTTAGGTGAAGAAGGCTTTGACACGACTTAAGGTGGAAATGACTCATACAGGATATCGGAGAACTTACAGGATCACTGGATTGTCAGATAAGCCAATGAGCAAAACCACGTGAGCGCTCTTTTTCTTTTGCATTACTCTGTCTGGTTCTACCCTAGTTTATAATGCATGTATGGTAGCGCACGGTTTATTTTGTATTTGGGAAAGAAGATTAGATGTTGAAGACCCTGTTGTTTAATATTGTGTCGCATCGATGTATCAGGAACAAATCCCGATAACCTGAGATATTCCCGTGCCTCTTCTGTGGCAAAAATTGCTGTGCACCAATGCTTCTAGTCTCCATGTTGGATGGGTTACCATTAAGTTTTATGTTTCCACCTTCTCTGCTAGCAAAGTAAATGTTCTTTGAACAAATCCCCCATTGCCATATTGTTGACGGCCTTTTTTTTTCTTATGAAATTGTGTCGTCAGGAAAACTTTGATGCGACTTATCAAGTAAAAAAGGAAAGATTGATGTGAGATGATGGCATGTAGGAGCTGTGTTGACTCGTTTTACTTTTGAGATAATAAGAACTTGTCGCCTATGGTGCGGTGCTTCTTTTCATTTTTGTAAGTTTTAAACCAAAATGTCTTCACTTGGTATCCTTTTGGCATGATTATAGTAGCATTTTTTCAATCCTCCCTGAATCTAGTACATGTTCTTGTACTCTTCTGTGATAAATGTGACCTTGAGGAACTGTAACCTATTTTCTTGATTCTCATAGTAATCTTTGTGTTTTACGAAATGTTCACAATGTGTATTTGGTCAATCAGGTTTATGCTCGATGACCAAACAGAGATATCAGTTGTTCAATACTTCCGGGAGAAATACAACATCGGTTTGCAATATGTATCAATGCCGACACTGCTAGCTGGAAGCGACACGAAGCCTGTCCTCTTACCTATGGAGGTTTTGTTTGATGATGATGAGATTGTTTATTTCTTCAGATTCTCTTTTTAGAAGTCTGCTTTATTTAGCTCTGGTCATGAAAGGTCTGGCTTTTCTGTTTACAGCTTTGTAGGATTGCTGCTGGGCAGAGGTACACTAAGAAATTGAATGAACGACAAGTAACTGCTCTGTTAAGGGCGACCTGCCAACGCCCTTATGACAGGGAAAAGAGTATTAGGCAGGTAGGAAATGTTAGCTGGCTTCATATGTACATCCTTTTGATAAGGTTCTTCTAGGCAGTGCAATTTCCAAGCTAAGCCACTGCATGCTTGTGCAGATGGTTGATGAGAATAAGTATGATGAAGAACTCCTTCTAACGAAAGAATTTGGAATGTCGGTGGGAAATGAACTTGCTTTCGTCGAGGCTCGTGTTTTACCACCACCAATGGTAAGCTGTTGCACATCTTTGTTGTGAGAAACTGGATGCCTCAAGTTGTTGCGTTCTATTTTTTTTAGTTTCATCCGCTGACGCATGCCATTGTTGCAGCTTAAATATCATGAAAGTGGTCGAGATGCAACGGTTGGTCCATTGATGGGGCAGTGGAATATGGTTAACAAGGTGAGCTACTTCCTTCTAGTATTAATTGACAATGATCATTGGATGCGCACACAATGCATCACTGCAGTGATGGTTGGTGCAGAAAAATTCAATAAACAAACATCGTGTTGTCATCTTAAGTTGATTAGTCTAACATTTTCAGCACAATCAGTTCTTCTTTTTGCCATTTCTTTACAGAAAATGATCGATGGAGGTAGAGTGGATACCTGGATGTGTGTTAACTTCTCAAGGTGGAATCAAAATATGACTCATCAATTTTGTGACGAATTGGTCAAGTTGTGTAATAGTAAAGGGATGGTAGGTATCTACTGACAGAGCACTGTCATGTCATGGAATATTCTTTTTCTTTTCCTTATCTGGTGATGTTATGAGGTACAAATTATATGCACCTAACAAATTTTAATCTCTTCGTAGGCTTTTAACCCACAACCAGTACTCCCTATACGTGATGGTCAACCCCGCCAGATTGAAAGAGTCCTTGCGGATATTAATAGAGAATCTCGGGCAAGACTCGCGAACATGAATTCACCTCGGAAAGAACTTCAGCTGTTGATAGCTATCTTACCGGACATAGCTGGATCTTATGGTAAGTTATCCTTTAGTTGTCATCTTTAGAGCTCTAAGGAGTCAAAACTTTTCCGTTTCTAATGACTATTTCCTTCACAGGGAAGATAAAAAGAGTATGCGAAACTGAACTGGGAATTGTCTCACAGTGTTGCCAACCGAAAGAAGCTGCAAAAATGAAGGAGCAATATCTTGCAAATCTTGCACTGAAAATTAATGTCAAGGTTCCGAGGTTCTTTTTTGCATGAATTTTTCTATTTCTTTGATAATGAATATTGATCATTCTGCTTGATGGTCATAGGTTGGCGGAAGGAATACTGTTCTGAATGACGCCATTTTGAGAAGAATCCCTCTTGTCACTGATATGCCAACCATAATTTTTGGGGCAGACGTAACACATCCACAACCTGGAGATGATGCTAATCCTTCCATAGCAGCTGTATGCTTTTCCCTACTTTGCTGTCATTTGTTTCCCATTTTGAAGTGGTCAAACAATTGATGGTATTGATATGACCAGGTGGTAGCTTCTATGGACTGGCCAGAAGTGACGAAATATAGAGGCCTTGTTTCTGCACAGACTCACAGACAAGAAATCATTAACGATTTGTACATCCCTAAACAGACCCCGGAGGGGAAAGCTGGAGGGATGATTAGGTAAGGTCCTGTTTGTTTTCTTTGGTGCCTATCATTAATATATTAAGTTTATGTTTTCCCCAACTCACTTTCACGTTCTCCTGCAGGGAATTGCTTATTGCCTTCAGAAGATCTACTGGGCATAAACCTCATAGGATAATATTTTATAGGTGTCGTATTTTATTGTTCTGTTAGAATAGATAGCTTTGTTTGTCATTGCTATTGAAGTTTGATTGTCATTGCCATTGAAGTTTGATTGTCACTGTAGGGATGGGGTTAGTGAAGGTCAATTCTCGCAAGTTCTTCTCTATGAAATGGATGCAATTCGCCAGGTACTTTAGTGGGGAATAAGTCCATTGAAAATTCGCTTATCATCTTTCCGTTAAGTAGATCTTAGAATCATTTTCCAGCTATATAACTTTAGTTGGTATTACATAGGCCTGTGCCTCACTTGAAGAGGATTATCTGCCACCAGTTACCTTCGTTGTGGTGCAAAAGAGGCACCACACACGCCTCTTTCCTGAGAATTATAACAGACGCGATTCAATGGACAGGAGTGGCAATATACTACCTGGTATGATACTTCTTTAACTTTCTTGGTAATTTACTAAAGCGAGTTAGGTTTTCGAGTACTTAAATTTTTAGTACGTTTGATTAGGTACCGTTGTTGATACTCGCATCTGCCACCCCACTGAATTCGATTTTTACCTCAATAGCCATGCTGGGATTCAGGTGACATGCATCTCCTTTATGTTGAGCGAAACGCTCTTACGGATGTTACCATTGAACTCTCTTTGTTATGTAAATAAAGTATCCACTATAACATCTGTTCATATGATGTAGGGTACTAGTAGGCCGTCGCACTACCATGTATTACTTGATGAGAACAATTTTAGTGCCGATGCTCTCCAAACCCTCACTAACAATTTGTGCTACACGTAAGTATCCTCTGCTTTTCTAATTAGTTTTACTCATTGCCTGGGGAAATGCTTGTTTCGGATCATTATCTTATTTTCTATATTTGAACTCTGCAGATATGCTCGATGCACACGCTCGGTCTCAATAGGTTAGGCCAAGATCTGTTATTTTTCACTGTTTTTCCTTTAAAACTCCCGATCAAATTTTTGACTCTTCACTGATATTTTGTGGATCCTGCAGTGCCTCCTGCTTATTATGCCCATTTAGCAGCCTTTCGAGCGAGGTATTACATAGATGGGGACGGGTCGGATACTGGGTCGTCGGGAGGAGGAAGGGGCACTGCTGTGGAGATCCGGGCACTTCCTTCGATCAAAGACAATGTCAAAGATGTGATGTTTTATTGCTGATGCGTTGGGCACCAAGGACGGGACTCGCTCTTTTACTGGAAATAGACTTGACACTTGCTCACTTCACGAGACATACATTTTGGGTTTTTGGTTCATGTGAAAGACAAACATTATACTCGGTTATCCTTACCAAAAAAAAAAACATTATACTCGGTTATGAACTGGTGGGACATCTTAGGCAATTGTCTGGTTTTGTGGTAGGATTCGCTCTATTATTTTGCCCTCGATACAATATGAAATTCTCATTTGTCGGATTAGAAAAAATAAAAAAATCATTTCCTAGCTTTTACTTCGTGTATCTCCTTAATCTGTATATTTATGTCAAAAGTGCCATTTATCTCGTTTATCAAGCCTTTACTAATTATTTTTATATTAAACATAGGTTGTCAAGAAACAAGGACCCAATTACCATTCGACGCACTTTTGAAGTTACCCATCAAAATTTAATTAACGGCGACTGTTAATTAGGAACATTAAAAGTAATTGCGCATGCTCGAAATCTTGTAATCTCGGAGCTAAAACCGTCTTATTTCCAAACGAAATGTCCTTTTCATCCCTGACAACTGCTTCTTTCTGGTTAGGAATGTTCGTTGTGCGCGAAGCCATCGCGAGGGTGATATGGGTAGACCGAAGTAATCATACCAGTTGTTTATATAGTTGATAACTCCTTTCTATTAATACGATTTCCACGTGAAAGAAAGCAAATGATCAATTTTAGTTAATAGCGATTTCTGGGCAGTAAAGACCCTGTCATTTTCAAATATCACGCAGTAAAAGTTTCTGTGGTAATTCGACTCTTTTGGTTAGTAAAGTTTCCATATGAAAAAGCAACTTTTGAAATATCTATAACAATTTTAAGACCAAAAAAAAAGAAAAAAGAAATATCTATAACAATTTATTAGTAATTTCTCTCAAAGAAGTCTATAATATGTCTGTAGCGATTGACCTCTACACGAATTCAAGAACTTTTCGGCTGAGAAAATAACCACCGATTCAGTCAGTAGAATCATTGCGTGCTAATATCATCGAGTGTACAACAAGATGGTAGGGAGAAGCAGCACACGAGATATGAGATTAATGACAGTGATTAAAGCAGCAGGAACGCCTAAGATATCTTCCGTGCTTACAGTTTGGAAAACCTGGAAGTAAATGACTGCGGATTTATTAATGCTAAGTACAGTATGCGGGGGATGCACAGTCGACATGGAGGTCCACTCGCAACCTGGATTTATTTCTCTTCAAGAACACAAACTATCTCCCCAAAAATCTATGGTTGTAAGTTAAACTGCAAAATCTGTTTCCTTTCGCCACTTAAGTGTTGATCTAACTCAAGTTCAATGCGAACAGGTTCGGGGAAAAATGTTCAGCAAAAAGAAAGATGCAATCCAGCAAAAGAACTTTTGGGTGCCTTACTTTTCTTCCAAAAGGAGGGGTGTGCAGGAGAGAAGGGAGGGCAACTCCTCTGGAGTTGCTGCTCCAAAGCCTTGCCATCTAATCCTTCCAAATTTGTCGAGCAAGAATACGTACCTGAAGACAACACGATGGCAATGCTCAGCTGAAAAAAAGAAAAGAAAGAAAGGGCGGATAGCAAGCAAATGAGTGAGGAATTTGCAGATCTGTACCCGGTGAGGAGGTTCATTATTTTGAGTTCTTTCCTGAAGTAGTAATGGTCCCCAAATGAATAGACAATCTGCCTCCTGAGTGGACCTTGATTATCCTCGCTTTTGGGTTTTCTCATAATCCGGAGAAGCAGTTGCTTAATTGGTTTCCGACATAATAACCATGAATCAATGAAGGACACCTGAACATGATCATCAGTCAACAAAAATAACTCAATTGAGCCTTTTTCGGCCAAAAAGTTGACCACAGAGAACAATCACATGGAAGTGAAGCCATAGCTAGTGAACATAGTAGCAGCAAGTGTTATGAGGCAATCACAAACAGCAAGTGCAATCTATGCTCCCCTGGTCTGCCAGGAATGGATGGAGTCACCATAAAGGGGTAATGAAGCTTAACATAGGTCCTGTGGCTTAGAGAATAACTTGACATTCCGCTCCAAGTAACAGAAAGAAAAAGATTCAAGAGAAGCATTGGTACTTTTCATTTTTCTTTCAGGGTTTAATCATATTTATGAGTTTATAAATGTAGCAGCTTAATTTCTCTCAAACGAGGTGGACAAAGAAAGATTGTTCCTGTACCTCATAAAGATGTACATCCTCTTTATCACAGAAAGCATTTCGAAAAGGCACACCCCAAGAATCGATCATTGCCTGCCAAGTAGGGAGAAGGTAACAGTTAATAATAAGTGACAGATCAAGAAAAATCATCTTGGTAGAACCAGCACTCTGGAAGAGAGATAAACAAGGAGCAAGCTTAAATGTCCAGTAACACCTTAGAAACTCCATTGATATTTTTCATCTCCGTAAGTAGGATGTTGGCATTCTAAACCAATCCATAAAAGAAGGCAACAAAATGCTTTTTGATAATCGAACTCAACAAAATTTGCTGATGATACAGGAAAGAAGGCAATGCATAGCTGCAACAAATTTATAGCCGCCATCATAACTTCAAAGAAGTTAGGAAACTATAAGCCTCTTCATGCTGCAGAGATGCACACAATTTCGGTCGTGAGTTATCACTTTTTCTTAAAAAAAAAGAAAATCATGTAACCCACCTGGGAGCTTGCTCGGAACGACAGACATAATAAAGTAGCCTTAGGGACAGATGGCATGTTTTGATTGACTTTTTTGCCACTGCAGCTGATGGGCAGCTTGAAACTTTGCCCATCTGATTGCTCGACTTCGATGATGGGAAACTTTACAGCTGCCATTGCTGGAATTATGATTTTATTTGCCATTGCAATCTGCACCACAATAATATCGAAAAGCTAACAACATTGGCTATACAGATAACCGGACAAAACTTACATAATCACACATTTGACTCGCTTGGTTCGTACAGGCCACATAGTTAATAATGTGTATAGCCATGCAATCAGTTTCTGTTTCATGACAAGCACCGACACTGGTTCTTCCTTCAAATAAGATAGTTATCATTCACCCAGTATAGAGTTTACAAATGTTCGGTTTAGGCTGCTTCAAACAGCAAATTTTACCAGATTCCAAGATGTCAAGGCACAGGTCAATGAATAGATCCATTGCTAAACTTAAGAACAAAATGCAATTAGGTATGATTTGCTGGAAATATCCTCTCAACTCTATATCGAATAATCGGGAACTCCGGCTATCAATGCCGCAAAACGAAGCGAAGTCTCTGAAATCAAGCATTGAAGAGCCCTTGCAAAACATGAAATCCCAGCACAAAACCAACTTAAGGCAGTGAAGTGAGCTTTGATACCAATGAAGAATCACTAAATTACCTTACCACCATGCTTCCGAAGCTCCGACATATCAGCAAAGTAGCCTCTGTTCATCTCATCCGCGCTGCCCTACGCCACATCGCACATCACCCATCGTCGAATTTCGAACACATCGTCGGTCACAGGAACTCAAGATTTTACAGAAACAGGACAAGAACAAAAGAAAAGGCTTACAGCCGGGCACGTTCTTTCTCGATCGCTGCCTTGTTTCCCATCTACACCCAATGGCAAAATAAAAATAAAAAGTAAATAATCAGCTTGCAACAACATTCTCGTACGACCGGATTCTGACAGGAGTCGATGCCGCGAAGGACCAGGAGAGAGAGAGAAACCTGGTAAATGTCGAGGAAGCGAGCCGAGGTCCTCCGGGCCAAATGCTGCGGAGGCAGAGAGGCGACGAGCTCCTGGTCGCCATGTGCGAACGCCCCAGGACGCAGGGCCGAAGCTCTGTTCGCAAAGCTTCGACCGATCAACCGATTGGATTTCAGCATCTCTTGCTTCTTCAACGCTGCCGATGAAGATGGAGGCTTTCCGACTTCGACTCCGACTCGGACGCGTCCGAGGTTAGAGAGGCGGCTCGCTGTGCCCCTTCCAAGTAGTCGGAGGATTCCGTCGGGTCGGGGCGCGATTCCGGCTACTTCACCGGAAAGGAAGGGGGATATGGCCGCTCGGCGGCGGCGAGCGGCGTCACCGAGGTTGTGAAAGGAACGACCACCGAGCGGGGGGGGTTAACACGACTTGTCGTTTGCCAAAGTTTTTTTATTTATTTGTCAGAATTTGCCAAAGTTTATCGGGCGTGCTACTACTCTTGAGGGGAAACAAGTGCTAGCTAGGGACGATTTTTAGGACCAAATTGATAAAATTGAAGAGTTTGTAATTGTATTAATTGTTTAGAACATTTTGGATAATTATTCCCAAAGAGAAGTGCGAGACCGCGAACACTGAACCGCACATCATTTTTGTTCTGGCTGTATGTATGCATAATAGATCCAATTTCATAATTTAGAAGTTGAACGGTATTAAGAACGAAATATCCCATTAAAGCGCACCCCCAATCATTTTCGACAAATTCGATCAAAAAAAATCATTTTCGAGGTGAAACGAGTGCTAGTTAGGGATAGTTTTTATAACAAAATTGAAAAGTTTAAGAATAAATGCCTTTAGTACATTTTGAACCATTATCATCAAAGTGAAGAGGGAGACCGCGAACACTGAGCCTCACATCATCTTAGTTCTGGCTCTATGTATACATAATAGATCCAAATTCAGAAATTTAGAAGTTGAATGATATTAAGAACGAAAAATCCCGTGAAAGGCCATCCCCAATTCATTTTCTTCCAAAGCGAGTCATGGTGTTTCCTTTTGGTGGCAACAAAAGTGGGTTATGCTCTTACCCGTGGAGGTTGTCAATCTCTCTTAGCTTCTAAGCAGTATTTGAGCAATGCTCGACATATAGGAATGAATGACTCAAACATGGCTTACCACAAAAAGGAAAGCTGCAAACATATGCTCACCCAAAAAATGAACTCCAATATACCCAGAAATTAACAAAGTCCATCTAGGAGTTCAGCAAGGAAGCACCCTAACGAGCGTAACCAACACCCAAATAAAAACTTCGGCAAAATGTCTCTCACAAAGTCCTAGCTTTTCTTTCTCGTGGCCTTGTCTACTCGCCCCACCCAAAAAAAATAAATATTAATAATAATCAACCGGCACCGCGGTATGCAGCCGTAGCCATGCCGGCTGAAGCTGAACCGCATAATTTACAAAGAGTAAGCGATCACCTCAACACGGCTTTTTTGCAAGTATGAACCATTTGTAAAGTAGATGATATTGAATGCCTTATATTCTTGATAAAGCATTATCAAGTCTATCATGTTCGAATGCGAGATGTTAAATGGCACTGTTTCACCCATGATGGGGTGTGTTATGAGAGGCACCCTTTGAAATGGTGTGAGTTGTCTTCTAAGGGAAGTTAAAATAACTTCCTAAAGACAGAGCAAAAGAGACAAGAAAACAGAAATACAATGTACAGAAAAGAACATACTTTTTTCTCTCAATCAGAAAACACACGCAAGAGGGTTCCATTGTTACTTTGAGAAGACTATCGGCATTAACGCTGTAGAACAAGAATATTTTCCTCGTAATTATATTCGGATCGATGTGACGTTGCAAATTTGTCCAACGTTCGCTGGTGATTCAATTCACATTCCTGGATAATTCATTTATTGTGCATTGAGAGGTTAGTCGATTTCTTCCGCCATTTTTTTCCCACAAAAGTCATGCAACACTAATACCGATTGAGGAGATTTCATTTCCGATGGTATGATATACACTACGCTGAAACGCATGTACATTTGGCACGCAAGATGACGGTGGATCCCGCCACTTTAGAATGATTTTCACTGGCTCCACTTATTAAGGTAGTCGCTGTTCTTTTTTCTCTCTGTGCCGAGCCAAAGACCGAGAAATCCGAGAAAATAAAGCGAAAGAGCATTGCACTTTTCCTGCCTCTTGAGGAATCCCAAGATCGGATCCAGCAAGAAGGACTCCACATCCCCATCCGATCAAGTTCGATGAGGATTTAGAGCCCCTGAAGGAGGATGAAGAGAAAGAGGGACTCAACAGGTGCAGCAACGACGTCCGCTTGTGTCGGCGGGGGCGATTCGTTGTCAGGGATCGAATTGGAGGTGTTCTTGAATTTTAGAGGCTCCGACACCCGTCTCAACTTTACCGATTGTCTCTATCACTTCCTAGTTGGAGCTGGGATTCGCGTTTTTAGAGACGAAGAAGAGATCCCAAAGGGTGAAAAGATCGGAGGTGAGCTTCTCCTTGCCATCCAATCCTCCAAAATATACGTGCCAATCTTGTCTAGGAACTACGCATCCAGCGTGTGGTGTCTTCGCGAGCTCACGCACATGGTAGAGTGCTCGAGCAAAGCGAATGACAAAGCGATCCTACCCATTTTCTATGATGTGGATCCTGATGACGTGAAGCTAAAAACTCGATTGTACCTTGACGCTCTGGAGAAGCACGAGGAGAAGTTTGGCCGGGATGAAGTTCGGCAATGGAAGGAGGCTCTAACCGAGGTCGCAAGAATCAAGGGATGGGGCTTGAAGGACAAAGGGTAAGAGCGGGGGTTCGGAATCTGCTTTATCTCTCCTTTTTGCTTTTCGGGCAATTATAATTGCGATGGTAATAAGGAATAGAATTTGCTGCCATAATTTCCCTTTAAAGGACACTTAATTCTTTTTTCCTTGTAATTTATTGTCTTCCTTTCCCCAACGAGTCATCCAAACTTAGTGTTGATCTAAATTCTTTCATAAGTCGAGATTTCCTTTTACTTAAGAAAGTGATCTTCCATTTGGCAACACTTCACCCATTCAGAAATCCGATTAGATCTGTGTCTACAATATTTATGAACTCGAAAGTTTATCTGCTATTTGTTTCACGCTAAGACGCTTGTGTCCTTATGCCAGCCATGGTGAAATCATCAACACTATTGTTGATGAGGTTTTGACCAAGCTGAAGAAAAGGAGGAGAAATCTGCCTAGTCATTTAGTTGGGATTGCTGGTCATGTGGAAGCCATCATGAACTTTTTAAATGAAGGATCTAGTGAGATTACTTATATGGTCATCCATGGATTGGGCGGTATCGGTAAGATCATTCTCGCTAGTGTTACCTTTAATTTAATCTCAAATCAATTTGAAGGCTGTAGTGTAGCTTCCTCTTGGATCTGTGAAGCATGGTAGAATTATTGATCTACAAAAACAGTTGTTATCAAACATCGCCAATGCAGATCTCTAGAGATTTATGATTATGTTGATGCAGGGATTAACATAATTAAAAGAAAGGTTTCCTGATGCTAAATTCTGACAAGATTCTGCTATCACTAGGTAGATATGAATAGATGTAATAAGTACACGGGCAACGTGTTTATATAGGCATTTTTATCAAATGGTGACTGGAAGATCATACTAAAAAACAGAAGGTTGGTTGGTTAAACTTATATGTTTGAAATTGAGATATAAACTGTTCAATTTGTGAAGGTAAAGGGCCCTGTCAATTGAAGCACTTAAAAATAACAAAGCCCGTTGACAGGAAAAATTAAAGAGATGTGCAGGATAAGGAAAAAAATCAGTAGCACTTTCCCCGACGTCAGAATAGTAAAGGCTCACAACCATTCATTCCAAAATTTTATAAGCTTCTAGATCCGCGCTTATATCAGCCTATGTTTACCAATCACATTGATGTTCTAGTTCTTTCTCCAGGACTTAATGGTGTACCCGCTTTGGCATCGCCAGTACAGTTGCAAAATACCCGCTTTGGAAATGCCATCGATGTTGGTTTCGTTGCACATCGGCCCCAACCTGCAGACCCCTCGGGTGTTCTCATTTCTCCGGGAGATAGTGGTATCACTACTATCAGATTGCCAAAACCGTCCCATGAAATCAATCTACCAAATGCCATGCATAGCCAAACGATCGATTTTTTAAGCCGAATGGACTATACAGTACATGAGAATGTTCTCCCCTCAGAACCACCCTGTGCCTCAATATCAAGCATCGAATTCCAATCTAGTGGCACACTTCCTCTTCTTGAAGGCAATCACGCGATGGAAGATATCCTATCAATTGATTTAGCGGATCTTTTGGAATTTCCGGGGGTTAATATGTTCAGTGAGAGCCCGCCACATTACGACACACTCGACCCAATTTTGTTAGCGGATCTTTTCAGTGATTTTTAGGGGCTGGTAGGTTCAGTCAGAGCCCACCGCGTGATGACACGTTCTTTCACAGACCCCGCCATAGAATGACGGTTTTGTTAGTGCTACCAGCAAAGGTCTTAATGGCTGGCGCAAGAGTCAAGATAAAGACAGTGCCCAGTGGCAGAGTCGGGTTTCTTCGCCAGGAAGTGAGGTGTCAGAAAACAGAACTGTGCAGTTGGATGAACTGCCGATTGAACTCCTGCTTTGATTTGATGGTTCTTGCATTGCATAGGATGATTCTCCGTCTACCATTTGATAGAAGTGATGGTATGTTTTTTTCTTAGATGAGGTCCTTATAGTTACTTACCTATATACGGCCACGGGACCATGGTCACCATGATTATGTTATTCATTTCGGTATATAAATCAGCCTTGTTGAACGCCCTCTTAAGCAACTAATTTTTCATCTTAATGTGTTTCTCTACTTTGGTTCTTTTAACCTCTCTCTTCGTGTTGGAACCAAAAGAATTATATAAACTTAGAGCACAAATAATTATTGGAGGGAGAACCTTTTATTTATACCGCGAACACTGAGCCTCACATCATCTTAGTTCTGACTATATGTATACATAATAGATCCAAATTCAGAAATTTAGAAGTTGAATGATATTAAGAACGAAAAATCCCGTGAAAGGCCATCCCCAATTCATTTTCTTCCAAAGCGAGTCATGATGTTTCCTTTTGGTGGCTACAAAAGTGGGTTATGCTCTTACCCGTGGAGGTTGTCAATCTCTCTTAGCTTCTAAGCATTATTTGAGCAATGCTCGACATATATGAATGAATGACTCAAACATGCTTTACCACAAAAAGGAAAGCTGCAAACACATGCTCACCCAAAAAATGAACTCCTATATACCCAGAAATTAACAAAGTCCATCAAGGAGTTCAGCAAGGAAGCACCTAACGAGCGTAACCAACACCCAAATAAAAACTTCGGCAAAATGTCTCTCACAAAGTCCTAGCTTTTCTTTCTCGTGGCCTTGTCTACTCGCCCCACCCAAAAAAAATAAATATTAATAATAATCAACCGGCACCGCGGTATGCAGCCATAGCCATTCCGGCTGAAGCTGAACCGCATAATTTACAAAGAGTAAGTGATCACCTCGACACAATAATAACAAAGCTTTACACCCGGCGAAACATGACCATTACGCACCCAGCTTCTTCCTGCACCCGTGCTTGTCGAAGATCGACCTTGCATTCACTTTTCTTCGAGATTTTTCATCTGTTCCCCTCTCAGAAAAGTCGCCCCCGATCAAACAGCGCAAGCAGCCTAGGTGGCGTGAGAATCAATCGAGAGCAGTTCACCATCCATGACATCACCACCACAATAATGCCAAAGTCGGCTTCTTCTGCACATCGACCTTCTTAGTAACCTCTCAATCTCTCACGCCTATGTCCTCGCATTCGATAGATAGGCTCAAGGCATCGTGATGATGCCAGAAGCAGAGTCGGCAAAATACTGCTATGATACATTTCATCAGTAGAGACCAGAAGAAAAACAAGAAGGCCCCCACAGAATAAATAAACCAATAAACCGCTGTGGCACACCAAAAATTACAGGCATGAAAGACTGAGACAACACACCCTCTCATGCAAGGTCAAGCACACACTGGACACAATCAACTGGCAGCAGTAGTACATAATATACACCGCATGCGGTTGGTACCGTTCTGGTCATCATCCTCATCTTCCTCATCACCGTCATCGTACTCATACTCGTAATCATAATGCGACGTGGGCTCTGAAGAGCCTTCCTTAGTCCCTTTCTTGCCACTATACGTATATGTGGAATCCATTAGACAGCTCGTGTGGTACGAATGACAGCAAAAGAAGACGACCACAGACACATCTCGTATGGAGAAGGGATCGAAACAAATGCAACATCTTGCGCCTCCCCTAGTTTTGGACTTTACCCCTGTAGTTCTCAGGCCTGACGCTTTTTCTGGCTCCTGGTAAGCCTTACTATCATTTTTCTTTGCTCGAGCCTCATCTTCTTCATTGCTCAAATACACAGCATGTCTTGCTTCTTTGTAGTACTTTACCAAGAGGTTGACACAATCCGCCTGCCGTTTTTAAGAAACGAAGAATAATATTAAGCATTTTTTAAAGTGGTTTTGATGAATGAGATTCCATATTGTAAACCAAGGTTTACCTTAAGTATATCGTTGCACCCGTGTCTGAGAGATGTTTCAGTCCTGTAATCAGTGATGATTTTGACAAGACGATCCCTTAGCCTGTCAATCAATTGAAGAACAAGGAAAATACTCAAGAGGATTATCTTGATATAATGAAGGAAACAATGATTTGCAACTGTAACAAGCAAAATCAAGCAACTTAACATGAGAATCATGTCAACAGGAAAGGAAAACCAGAATAAACTTTCTCGGTCAGTACTTACCGAGGTATCTCCAAACCATTTGGCACCATATTGACTATATATAGTGGATCGAGATTCCCCACAGTGTGCTCCAGCAACACGCCCACCTGCCAAGCACGGAAAACATGTTTGGAAGCTCAGATAACTGCCATGTGATTATCGGCAATCCCAAGAAGGTTTTTAGTAACATTGAAGAGATGTCACGGTACCATTTCAGGTTTGTCAAGACATTGTTTAATTAATTCTTCCCATAGGTCGTCGTCATGCTGCATGCTCACAAACTCTACAGCCTGTGCACAATGTACTGCTTGTATTAACACCAAGATTTAGACTACTTGAGAAATACAAATAACAAATGAACTAAGCAAAAAAATTAGGCCAGAGAAACTTTTTTCATACAAAGAAGCAGTTTACCTCTTCTATGTCTCCCAAATCGTTGATGATGACAGCAAGAGCTTGCTTTGAATTCCCCATCCTTCCCAGTATAAACACTTGCTCCTTAACAAGCTCTTTTTTAACACAAATGTTATAAGCCTGGAATTGGTCTTGAAAGTTTAATAGGTTGAACAACTTCAAAGCATTATGGTCAACCATGAAATAACTCTCCAAACCTTTTCAAGTGTATAGTGCTGACTACTGCGAAGAAAAGGAAGCAGCATCTTCGGATCAAAGTCAGCATAGAGCTCTACCTATCACAAAAAAAAGCACAACACTTGATCATATATGAAAGTAGAAAATGAATTCTAAACATTGTCAGAGGAATAATGATAAATGTGATAAATCTTTCTCTAAACTTCTTTAAAAAATCGAGATGACATTAACAGTGCAACCCTGATCCAAATCGTTTGTTTAAATTACCACAGAGACCCTGCAAAAAAAAAAGGTAAAACAATCTGAAAAAAGGACAAGATCTTTGAGTACATTTAGCAATCCTGAAGTGAAGAGGATATGTGGCCTTGGTCAAGAATACAGAGAGCTGTGTTCAACAGTCTTTGACAGGATGGTTATCATCCATGCAAACAATATTGAGGAAGAACATCATATCATGCAAGACACCAACCAAGAGTTGTAAAGAAGTATATGCTCAGATTATACAGAAGATATATACCTCACTCCAAAAGCATGCGACAGCATTGCGTCTGAAAGAAAGCAAAATAAAGAAAAGAAGGAATTTCTTTGTCTATTCATACCTGCATATCGTGAAACTCTCTTCCAGCATGAGGATTCACTTCAAATAAGGAATGCAGATATAGATGCAAAAAATGTCTTGAATCACTCTTATTGCTGGCATTCAAAAGTTGAGAAACCACTTCGGATGGTGTTATCAAATCCCTGTTTTGAATCAACAAAGGAACTGCACGTTTGCAATCTAGCGTCATCAATTGGACAACCTGCATGGAGAGAAAGAGAGGGTTGAACTAAGCATGCAAGTATCTAGACCAGAAAACTCAAAAGTCACAGCCTTGAATATAATTAGAAATGCAAACCCAGAAATTTTAGCATTTTCCTCCCTTGAGTCATATACAACAAAAGTCATCCAGACTCCCAATCGACTCACATAATATTAGAGTTTACATCCAGAAGCCTTTATAAGACCTAAATATTGCCTAGCATTGCCATACCTTTTCACGAATGGCTTCATGTAAGTTATATTTTTCAATGAAATCAAACACCTCTGGCTTCATAAGCTGAAAAGTAATTAAAAAGGCATCAGTTCCATAGAGCAGTTTCAATTGAAGTCACAAGCAGCATATTCCTTGGCCATTGTGTGTAGTCCAGGAATACACTCGACTCTCGCTGGCACTTACATCGGCATAGAGTGAAAAAGCTTTCTCATATTGGCAATCAATTACATACAACTCTGCCAGAGCCTGATGCACAAAGGGAACAGTTAAAAAGCTACAAGCATAAATTCTCAAATTAGATTAACAGCTAACCTCATATAGCTACCTCCTTGAGAGCATCAGTCATGGATGAAGTGTTGAGCTGTGGTTCAATGGCTGAGATAACAGGCGATGATGAATATATTGCTTGTGGCCAAGATTTGACAGTTGATAATAGCTCATGGTGGAAAGACGGATTTGTTGCCAAAGCCACCAGGGCAACCTGTATCTCAAGACAAACCATACAAGCGTCTTATTCACCAATATTATGATGAAACTAAGTAAACTAAGAAATACTTTGCTCCCCCTATTTTCTTTCCTCTTAACCTCAAATTTGATACAAATTTGTATTTTTTGGGAATTAGTTGGATCATTTTTGTCTAGGTATAGTACGATAACCGTAAATGTTCCCTGACTAAAACGTTTGTAGCATGTCTCTGGGAGTTATGCACTTCCTTTTTTTTTTTTCATGGAAATCATACAGAAACATGGGATGATGGAAGTGAAACCTAACTGTTCAAGAACTGCTGTAAAATGCTTAGAACAGTCCAAAATGTAGATACAGTTTCATCGGAATATATAATGGGGACCAAATGAACAGTATCTATTCAGATCTTTTGTTGTAATTGACATGTCATATAAGAACTAGAAGTTCGTTATCTAATAAAACCACAAAAGATTTTTGGAATGATTGAATGTGGGCAATGTCATCAGTG